AACTTGATAGTCGTAACTCGTCATAATAAAAACAATTATGTAGGTACGTACGTATACGTGGCTATGTATTTACGTGCATTTCTCTCGCCGGTGAGCGGGCAACTTTCAGAATTGCACGCGTCTCGCCGCCCCGTTGACGCGACTACCGCGACTGAAGACGCCTGCTCGGCCATCAACATTCATACATAAATTAATTTTAGAGCAAACTCCATTTAATAGTGCTCGTGTGGTCCAGCGTTTACATTTTGTGTTTATAAATCATACAATTGCTCGCCAAAAAGTTTTGATAACAAAACGGAATGTTTATCTCGTTTCAAAATGAATATACCTACACATGTGTGAATTTAAAAATTATAGGCACAATCTCAAGTTTTGTTTTTAACTATAAATGTGTGTACTGTTTAATGTCTCATGGAGTATTTACTAGCGCGGAGATTCGTGCCATGTTTGGTATATAACCAAGTATTTTAAATAAATATTTCCAACACTCACACCAATAAGCCTAGCCCCAAAGTAAGCACTGTAGACTTGTGTTGTGGGATACTAGGGTAACGGATAGAATACATATACTGTACATATATAAGTATATTCATATAGAAATACATATTAAACATACATGACTGGAGTACAAATGCTCGTATTCATCACGCAAACATCTGCCCCCACCGAGATTCCTCTGGAGCCTCTGGACCTCTGGAGTCGGCGACACCATGAAACCCGGCGAAAAAACCACTCGGCCATAGAGGTCGTTATTCGAATCGATTATAAGAGTGAAACTTTTATTTCATCGCCACAATTTTTTATTGTTCATCTTTAGAATTATTAAAAAAAACGGACCTTATCAATAAACATCAGTGGTTCAGTGGTAGAAAGCTTACCTGCTACGCGAACGGTCCGGGTTCGATTCCCGAGTCGAGGCGATGACGCCAATCACAACAATACAGTCTCACATGTGACTAAAGAACACAGTGACGTTTTTTTTTGCACTAAATTTAAATAAAATTTAAAATGTGATACAATTCCCCCACTTGGGCAAGTCTCCCACGGTTTTGCCCTAATAAGTATATACTGATATAGCAAAATTCCCTAGTCACTTTTGATCCGTATACTTAAAATCTGCGAATTCTTGCGAATCTTTTATATACATTAACCCATAACATATCGCTAGTTTACAATATTATCAATCGTATTCAATCGTATCCTAATCACCAAAAGACACCATTAGACAAGAAAAATTGATGCTGGTGCAAACGGTAAATCAAGTTTTATTTCCGGAAGTCAATTTGGCGACACTTAATATAAATTTATTCGTCAGTTTATATGGAAATTTTCTATTTAGCGATTCGGTTTGTATTCATTTTTACACTCTATAGAGTTACGTGATGGGATCTATTTGAAAATTGCGAATTTTAAAATCGTTAAACTTGTAACTATTCAAACTAATTTTTATAATATTAAGTCATTATGGTATCCACATAAACTTGTTTTCAAACACAACTTTTCTCAAATAAGTACATTGTAACTTAAAATTATATACTTAAACCTCAACTACAAAGTTGTTGTTAACTTAATAATAGTGGGGAGAGCACTGTCTTTTTGTCCTCAGGGTAACCTTTTTTATAGGGCAGGGTTCATTATCATGCACAAAATGTAAAGTGGTTCTCATAAACAACTATTATTACCTTTATATTTACAGCAAAGCCTATTAGGCCACTCGCGCACTAGACAGCCACGGCCAGTGGCCACAACGACCAAATTAACTAAAAAAACATACGAACGTCACGCACTTGGCCGCAACGAGAACTCTAGTTAATCTGGCTATTTCACCTAGTCGACATATGTCACCGATATAATTATGTCATTAAAATGACAGGAATTTGGTTACAATTGTCAATTGTCCGTATCTTATTTACTTCAACGACAATTGTGTTTGTAAAACGAGGGTATTTTTTTGTCGACAATTGTCAAATTGTCAGTAATTCTTAACATTAAATCGGGACTGTGTAAAATTGGCGTTACAATTGTAGTGTTTTCGTTATCAGTTACAGCGAAAGTTTGAAACGATGAATTCTTGTACAGCAGAATTTATAAAGAATGATTAAATTTCTCCTTTAATATCACTAATTTTGCATTAAAAAAAAATTAGATATAACAGATCACTCCATAACAAATCGTCGGCTTACATATGTCAGCAACATTATGTGGGCTTTGTGAAATAGGGCACTGGTCGTGGTCGTAGCCGTCTAATGCGCAAGGTGCCTTAAGAATCTTAAGATCTACACGGAATAAGCACGGAATATATAATCGCTCCCCTTCTACATGCGCCCCTAAGGACAGCTGAAGTGAAATATTTAGTTTTTAATTGCGTGTCGCGTGCCGCAATTATGTGTCATTTTATGAAGAACTCATGGTACGACACCTGTAGAATTCTTATAAAGACATTTAAGTACCTAAACTTATATTTCTTTTTCGTAAAGTTTCAGTAAAAGCATGGGAGAAACCGTTATATTATGTGGGTTTGTAATAACGGTCATAAAATAGACTCGTAAAATGGAAATATAGGTGAATTAGAAAGCACTTATGATTTCACAAAGTCTGAAAGTGTCACGTATGCAATTGAAAAATTAACCTTTTTATATTAGGTTCCCTACCAGATGTTAAATGTAAGTGTAGTCCACTTGCAATAAATCATCCCAAACAATCCCCTAATCCGTATTGTTAACAATACATTACTCTTATGAAAATAAACATAGCGTTTATTTTCATAAGAGTAATGACTCTCTTTGGCTTCTGTAAGGTGAAGATCATGCATGGGTGAGGTTACTTCCCCAGATAGAAGCTCCAAAACTAGCTGTCTATTGCCCCAATTTTCTTAAATTAAAGAAGCCCACAGTCTTCCCTTTTTTATCCAATGGTGTTTATTATACCGCTAAAGGGATTGGCGAATAAATACCGACTACATACCGCACATCGATAAGAAGAGTGACATTAACCAAAAAAGCTATTTTTTCAGTAGAAGCATTTAAAGTTTTACCTAACAGTACATAATTACGACTTTTGCAATCGTGTTTAATGCTCCCTGCAATAGAAATCATAACATGATATTGATTTTTTATTCTTTCTGGTGCAAAAGTATATATTACATTTACATGATACCTATATTTTTTAACGATACCAAAGTTTGGATTTCATTCGTTGTACCGAATGCTTCATTGACTTTTACCATTTATGTTACAGATGAAACTGATGTTTTTTGTACACCAATGTTATAATTTTATTATCGAAATAAAATTATTGAAAAATCAAAAAGTAAATACTATTAGTATTTAACCGCATTTATATTATAAGTATTATCACAATGGTTCAGATTATACTATCTGTAGGTACTGTGATTCATTTGCTCCATTAATGGTGCGAACGAAACTAATCAGTTCCATCTGCAGTTTGACATGTTGTCGAGACACAATATTGTCTTAAACTAACTACACTCGAATCTCAGCTACTATCGCAATAAATCTTTATCTTTTATTCCCAAACCTAGATTAAAAGTGTAGAAATAGAATCATTAATACTATAGCTACAATTCCTCTCACGCCGAGGACCGACCGAATCCAATTCTAAAACCATGAATTCGCGACTGTCTTTCGAATCCGCCGTATTTGATATTAATCGCGTTATACATTCCAAAGGTGTACGATAGTAAACTGAAAATCTCCTGAGACATTTTTTTTTCATTCATCCCATTCAAATCCATGCACAACTAGGTATTTAAAAAAAGAATCAACAAAATCAGTCGGACGAAACAAAAATAAAAAAATATAACGATGAATTGAGAACCTCCTCTTTTTTGAAGTCGGTTTTAAAATGGAGGACCAATCCATCGCAAACATATTTGTCTGTAGCGGTATTATGAATCCGGATCAATTTTAAATAGTCGTTATTCGATTCGAAAAACGTCAAACTCAAGACAAAATTACTGTTAAACACTCCGTTATTGTTCTTAACCTAATTTCGTTATTTACTACTTACTGTTACTACAGAATAATCTTTAAATTGTAGTATTACCACATTTTACGAGTATGCAAGAAACACATCTGAATGTGTATTTTTTTTAAGTTGCTATTTTAACGGCAACTCGTTAGGAGTTTTTTTTGTTAATTTAATGATATCTAGATTTTCGAACGTCTTCATTAATTTTACATGCAAACAACTTAAGGGTTTTTTCCTTGTGATCCCAATTTGTCAAGCATCTACTTCCGCTAATATGTATAAATGATGATGAGTGAAATAATTGATGGAATGGTGAAATGGCCGAGAAGTTTCCTTAATTGTCAAGAATTTGATTATCTGCGAATATTTGTATTATTATACGAGCGTAAATTTCATTTAATAGTCACGTACCTAAATATACATATTAAACAGCTAATCAATCACTCTTATTTATTTGGAATAAGGCAACCAATATATCATAGAAGCACTTTTTAATTAGGACTAAAAAGTAACATAATCCAAAAAATTCAAGCTTTTTCAAATAAACTTGTTGAGGTAATATGAACATAAAACTTTAAAGAAGTTCAGATAGTTTTAGTAAAATTATGCACTAAAATTAGGTATTAATCACTGTTTTATTAATAAGCACTGTTTATCATATATATTACACTTTGGGATTACATAAATACCGGCTGAGGTTCCGTATTAAAAATTATATATTCTCTCTGTCATCGATTCGAAGACGATTTGTGTACCTATTTATTTAACATGTTTGCATAAAATGTTTAATATTTAAATGGCGATGCTTAGAATCTTACATATAAAAAGAAGAAAATATAATTTTATAATCTAGAACAAATTATGTAATTATTTAATATATAAAACTACACTTATTTAAAAAAAAAGTTCCGATACCTTATAACTAGTAATAATTACCAGTAACTGATACTATTTCATTTGTAAGTTGCCATATCATAGAGAACTGGTAAGTAATAAAAAGTTTCACTCACCATAATAAAATCCGAAATCGGTTCCGAGCAATGCGAAATCCGAATATTGATAAAACTGTAAAATAAGTAAACAAAAGAAGAAACTAGTAGTCGTGGTGTAATAAAAAAGAACTGCAGTTTCAAGTCATTATTCGAGTCTTCCTTTTTTAAACACTGTTGCACATCACTGATCTAGTTCTTAATTTGAATCGCGTGCGTTACCGGTATTTTTTATCGTTTCTCTCGTGGTAGGCCAAGGAATCGTGAGAGTGCGGCTGAATGCGTGTCGTGGACGTGCCGGACGATGGTCAACTGTGGAACATAGAGTATTATATCTGTGGCCTGAGCGCGAGCATGCACGCAATGAATGTGCAAGAACCGTATGCCACTCGAGACGTTTGCCTCTATTGAATTGAATATACACAACTGAACCAGACGACAGCTAATTATTATAAGATTATCATATCACAGACACGAGTAAACATTAATTATAACATGTTAAGGTATTTATTAAATAGTAAAATATGCTTTAACCGACTAAAAGTTTTATAATAAAATAGGTTACCACCAGGTTTTTTCTATTGTAAGATTAGTGAGAGCATTTAACCACCACACAGATCACATCAAACAGTTTAATATATCAAATATTATATATCATCATATCATATATCATCATCATCATCAGCCTATAAATGTCCCCACTGTTGGGGCACAGGCCTTCCCTTGGATGGAATAGGGAGATTGAGCCATGACCCACCACGCGGGCCCAGTGCGGATTGGCGGGTGCTAACGACTGCAGATGCAGCCGGGACCAACGGCTTAACGTGCCTTCCGAAGCACGGAGGAACTCGAGATAGTAATTAAAGTGTAGTAAAAAATACTAGAATTAAAGTGAAAGAAATTATGGAATGTGGACTATCAGCTTATAAAATAAATTTAAAAAAATCAAAAACCCGACCGCTTAAATATTACTTCAAATAAAAACTGAAAAGAAAAAAACAAGACCAGTAGTTTATAATTCTGTAAAGTAAGGGACGAAGGTACTCTAACAGTCGAGACCCATTATTGAAAAAAAAGATCCATTCTTGAATATCTAATGGGTCCTGACTGTTAAAGTAGCTTTGTACTTACTTAACTGAATTATAGACAGCTGGGCTTGTTATTTTCTTTTCAGTTTTTATTTGAAGTAATATTTAAGCAGTCGCGTTTTTAGATTTTTTTAACATTCCTTTTTTATTTCACTCTTTTTAGTTAGGATTATAAGACGGTATATACCGCAGTCTTGTCACTTCTGTAAGGGAGTTACTATCGCGGGGATTATTAAGTACCTTACGGTGGTCTAAACGATTGATTTATTAGGACATATAGAGACTTTACCACCAGGGTCACGGCTACAGATGGGCCTCAATATTCGGAAAAATTAGTGAAGTTTAATCAAGTTGTTTATATAGTCCTATTCAAAAGTCATCTTTTGATTATGTTTTGTTTAGCAACTTAATAGAAAGTATAAAATTAATTTACTTTTATTCGTCGACTATCTAAAATTGGCTGGCAGTGGCTGCATTGTCAACGTCAGGCTTTAAAATTGTGATATACACAAATGAAGTATATCCTAGTCACATCATTGGTTTTACCTACATTATTCACAGAAACCAAATATGTAGAGATGCCAGGGGTTAACTTCAAACATTGTTAATCACCCTATATACAAAACCAATCAATTAAGTTAAAGTCGCAGGGTAACAAAAGCCTTAGATCGATAAATTAAAGTATAGTACAATCATCAATTTAATTAAACTAGAGACGTAGAATAAAATTTCCATAGCGTTAGTAACAGCACTATAGCAATCTCATATAATATAAATTTATCACCCAATGTATAGATTTACATCTTTGTCATTCTCTTTTAAAGCGTTCACCAGTTACAAGTAGCAACTTTCTAGTCTACCCTTTTTTATTGGTAGTGTAAAGCTCGAATACAGAGTACTTCCATTTATCAATCAGGCTGCTAACATCCTAGTAAGTAGTATATATTTTTTCTACCTACAAACAAAATAAGAAGAAGTATGTATAAATTAGCGGATCACTTTTTAACAAAAATGCTAAGTAACTTTTACAAATATAATCAAACAACTATATATAATATAACTTAAAACTTAGTTTATTTTTAAATCTTTCTCATCGGTTAAATATTTGACTATCTATACTAATATTATAAAGATGCAAAAGTTATATGAACTGAACTGAACCGATTTCGAAAATCCATTCACCAGAAGGTAACTACATTATTTATTATATATTTTCAACCATAAATCTCAATATCATTGATAAATCGCCTCGATCTATAAATCTAAAGAAAACTTTTACTTGAATAATATCAACTCTGAAAACATCTTCGTGAGGACATTTTTCTAGTAAAAAAAAACTTTATAATAACTACATTATATCCAATTGACATAATCGTCGTCAGAATCAAAACCTTTGATTCTGACGACGTAGCCTGTAAAGGCTACGAAACGTCAATAAATAAATAAAAGGACAATGGGCAAAACGCACCCAGCTCCGCCAACAATGTAATTAGTATGAATCGATAGATCTATGAAAAAGAAGTCTTTTTTATTATGACACCGAAAATAAATATCCTGGGAGTCAAAAGATATGACACCGTAAAAAATATCCTGGTAGTCAATAGATATGACACATGGGCATATTTAAGTAGCTGAATAAATTCAGTTTATAGTACCTAATAATATAAAAATATTATTAGTAATCATAATAATATGCCATACCGTACTATACAACCAGATATACGACAAAGCCTGTCGACCATCCTGTGCTTGCTCTTACTGATGAAGGACTTGCAGTTGCAAATAGTCGACTCGTCTTACTTCGTTGTGATTGTGCGCTCCCTGCTACTTGATTGATTTTTATCTAACACGCTTTGAATATTGGAACACGATTATCGGTTTTGTCAATTATGAACTGGAATCATTTGTTCTCCGAAGCGTGGACAAGTTTGTTTAATGTGTGGTCGCTCCGTTTTTCATAGAAAAAAAATACTATAACGAACAGAATGTTTAAAAAAACCAACCCATGCGGGGATTTTTGGATTTACTCTAGCGCGGCAGAATAACATAAGGAGGCACCCTTGGACCTTGTGAAGTACTCCCATAATTCCTGAGTACCCTGTGTAGGGTCGAACTAACTAAATTAATTCCCTTGTTTCATTAATGTTCGTTCGTTATAGTACTTGTACATTTTTAACTTAAAATAACTAAAGACCCCCGGGATGGAATTTGATGCGCTTTGGCACAGATGATCTTGACTATAATACCTTTCAAACAAATGTAGTTTAAGCCGTGGCGGAAGTGGGTGCAGCGTCCATACATTTTTGCCCAATGTCCTTTTGTGCATTAATCCGTAAAAACTAGTTTTATTTATAAACCTTTATATTATTTGCTTCGAATCTTGCAGGATTATCGTTCAAAATTGCCAAACAAACATTATCGCGAACTGATTAAAAAATACAGCGCGTCCATGAAGTACCTACTAACAGTTAATAGGTTATTTCTCAATATGTTAAGAAACCCTTTAGTAACATAAAGTATTATCGTTTATATAATCTTTGAAAATAGTATACTTCTGAGTTTTTCATTAAATTTCAAAAACAATTGTGGAAATGGATATCGAATAATATTTAATTTTAATTCACTGTATTAGCGATAAAGGCGTACACATTGCTCTAGATCTTTTTACACTATTTTAGATCTAAAGAGCTTAAGAAATGCTAGAGAAAATTCGGCACGGCCATCAGGGCCACGATAGCATAATGTTCAGTACATTCACCCGGATAGCGAAGAGTGCGGGGTCGAGTCCCGTGTGCTGCCTGGTCCGCATGGAATGTTTTCTACTCAAATTTCTTAAAATTAAATCCTTCAATATAAACTCATTAACATAAAAGCATTTGATTCAGAATGTGATAAGATCCGGTTTAGAGTGTATTGAAAAGAATAATCTGTTTCATTTGAACAACGAAGATTTTTTTTACTTAAAATAAAATACTTCATATCCTTTTCGAAATGATTACAAGGCCATAATTTGAATGCAAAGCCTTATTTATGTGCATTGATATATTATCATCCCCTGATACGAGAAAGTGTGAAAGCGAAACTGTGCCTGCGCCTCGGGATTATAACGAAAGTGAATACCGGTGACAAGGATCAATATTAATTAAAAAGAAAAGAGAGATTATTACACTACATCCATACATGATGAACATTGTTAAAATAAAACACATCACAGTGGTAAGGCCACGTAGGGCATAGTAGATTTTCCGCTCGATTGGAGCTCTAGTCTGGGGAAGCAACCTCCACCTTACAGTAAAATAACACTATCTTATGGTGGTGGTGTATTTCTGACGGTGAGTAAGTTTCCAGAGCTCCACGCCGTACCTGGCGGGTGCGGGCCATTCGGAGACGGGTTCCGCGACCACACCCGCCCTCTCAGCACGCACTAGGGAGATCGCGGTCCTCATAGTGCGTGTCGGGTGACGGTGTAGAAGTATAGTTTGGTTTTTAGTGGCCCTGTTCAGGGCGTAGGTAGGGCCCTGTTCACTTTAGCGAGCTCCAGGGCTGGCTGAAGGGGACAGGGAGGAGTCCCACATACCATCTTCTCGATCCCCCAGTGGTTGAATGATGCGGTAGGCATTTCCCAGACCCAAAAAAAAATGAAAAAAAGGGCTCCACGCCGTAGGGGATGTGGCTGACCCCACCCTGAAGTGGACAACGGTGCGAGTGATATTTTTGGTATCACAAGCGTCTATAGTCTATGCTATGGTGGCCGCTTACCATCACAAGGGCGATACGCTTGTTGCCACCCTTTTAACATAAAAAAACCATTTGACGACCTCCTTGGCCAAGTGGTTTGTACGCCGGGTTTCATGGTGTCGCCGACTCAAGAGGTCCCGGGTTCGACTCCCGGTGGGGGCAGATGTTTGTGTATTGAATACGAGCATTGGTACTCCAGTCATGGATGTTAAATATGTATTATGTATCTATATAAATATACTTATATATGTACAGTATATGTATTCTATCCGTTACTCTAGTGCTTACTTTGAGGCTAGGCTAATTGGTGTGAGTGTTGAAAATATTTATTTATTATAAAGCCTCCTTGTTTACTCTGGACCCTAAAGCGATCCCTGAATTCAATAATAGATCACAATCCGCTAAAAATTGTATCGCTAGTGAAAGTGATGTGCATACAAGCTGGTATGTCACCGTGTTCGTGGGCATGTATCAT